GGGGTGGGGTCACGATTCTGGAGCCGAGGCCCCCCCACTTTTTCTGGCGTTAGGGTTTCCAGGTGTCCAGTTTTCGACTGGAACACCCTGTCGAAAAGGGACCCTGGTGGCTCTCAGCACTGCTGACCAGGCCATTAAAAGTCTGGTTGGCGGCAAAGCAGGCTAAGGCAGGCTTCCTGCCTGCCCTGGTTCCGTGCAGCTCCCGATAGTGGCTGACTTGTCCCTGCAGCCCCTAGGCGGAGGAGTGATCAAGGAAGCTCCATGCGCTGCCCCCGCCCCACCCCAGAGCCCACACTCCCAGCAGGAGCCGGCACCTCTGCCCACACTCCAACCTCCTGCCCCAGCCCTAAGCACACTCCCGCATTCTGAACTCCTCAGCTACAGTCCGGAGTCCCCTTCTGCACCCAAATCCCTCATCCCTGGCCCCATCCCAGAGCCCACACCCCCAGCTGGAGTTGGCACCCCGTCCAGCACCCCAAACCCCTGCCCCAACCCAGTAAAAGTGTGTGAGGGTGGGAGAGAGTGAGCAACGGAGGGAGGGGGGGATGGAGTGGGAGGCGGGGCCTTGGATAAGGGGCGGGTCAGGGGGCAGGGCAAGGGTGTTCGGTTTTGTGCAATCAGAAAGTTAGCAACTCTATCTGGCCCATGGCCCCAGGAGACCTCAATCTGCCTCTGCAGGGAGGTGAGGTGCCAGGGAGAGGAGTACATGAAACTCCACATGATCTCTGCTGGACCACTGTGGCTAGCACAACATAGATGAGCCCTTAAGCTAGTCTAGGACGGGGGACAGAAATGTGGCTTAGAGCACTCACTGCAGCTGCGGAGCGGCTCTCCATCTTTACCTACACATGAAAAAGAAAGTTAAAGGGCCTATTGCCCAAAAGTGAGAAATTCCAAAATCAGAAAGTGTAATTTCACTGAAACCAGCACCAACCATCCAAAAAGACCAGGAGGCTGCTGAACATCAACAGTGTTCTTCCCATGCTGAAATATGGATTTCCTTATATTTGAAAAGAAAAAGGGATGAAGGCCTGGCTTCATTAAAATCAATGGGAGTTTTACCATTGGCTTCAGTGAAGCCAGGATTTCACCCAAGGTGTTTGCATATTATATGGGCAATATAAGATTATAAATGTACTTTAATATTTATTTTGTTGCTTTTAGTTGCTTGAGTTTTTATTAGGGCTGTCAAGCAATTCAAAAAATTAATCGCGATTAATCATGAGATTAAAAAATCTAATCACGATTAATCATGTGATTAACCGCACTGTTAAACAATAATAGAATACCATTTATTTAAATATTTTTGGATGTTTTCTATATTTTCAAATATGTTGATTTCAATTACAACACAAACTACAAAGTGTACCGTGCTCACTGTATATTATTATTTTTGATTACAAATATTTGCAGTATAAAAAAGATAAATAAAAGACATAGTATTTCAATTCACCTTGTACAAGTACTGCGGTACAATCGCTTTATCATGAAAGCGCAATTTACAAATGTAGAATTATTATTATTATATAACTCCCTTCAGCTGAGTGAGCCCTTGTTTGCAAGGGAGGGTGGATTTTACCCTCCCTTGCAGCTTCAGCATGTGGCAGGGGAGGAGAGGCTGGTGCAGGGAGGCTGTGCTCGCCAGGCCCATTCTCAGTGTTTCTCACTTTTTGTGCTGGTGGCCCCTTTTGCACTTAAAAAAAAAGTGACTTCCCTGTTAGAAAAACTTGTGACCAACCCCTTTAGTCTGGGGGGGGGGGGCGAAAATCGGAGATTCAGCCCCACTCAGTGTTGGGGGGCTTCAGGGCTCGGGCCGTGGAGCTGTGGGCTGGGACTTCAGTCCCCAGCCACCGATGCCTCCCTCCCCACCCAGAGGTATGCAATTAACGCATTAAAAAAAATAACGTGTTAATTTTGTTTTCAGGTCATCGCAGGCATTCACTGCGATTGACAGCCCTAGTTTTTATTAATGATATCTTTGATAAGTAGCACATTGTTGTCACTCAGAATCATAGACATGTAGGGCTGCAAGGGACCTCGGGAGGTCACCTAGTCCAGCCCCCAGTGCTGAGGCAGGACCAAGTAAACCTAGACCATCCCTGACAGGTATTTATTGAACCTGTTGTTAAAAACCACCAATGATGGGGATTCCACAACCTCCCTTGGAAGCCTGTTCTAGAGCTTAACTACCCTGATAGTTAGACAGTTTTTCCTAATAATTAACCTCAATCTCTCTTGCTGCAGATTAAACCCATTTCTTCTTGCTCTACTTTCAATAAACATGGAGAACAATTGATCACCACCCTCTTTATAATAGCCCTTAACACATTGGAAGACTGTTGTCAGGTCCCCTCTCAGTCCTCTTTTCTCAAGACAACACACCCAGTTTTTTTAACCTTTCCAGAGAAGTTTAGAAGGTTTTCTAAACCTTTTATCATTTTAGTTGTTCTCCTCTGGACTCTCTCCAATTTGTTCACATTTTTCCTCAAGTGCGGTGCCCAGAACTGGACACAGTACTCCAGCTGGGGCCTCACCAGTGCTAACTTAGAGCAGAACAATTTCCTCCTGTGTCTTACATATGACATTCCTGCTAATACAGGCCAGAGTGGTATTAGCTTTTTTTGCAACTGCATCACATTATTGACTCATATTCTATTTCTGATCCACTATAACTCCAAGTCCTTTTCTATAGTACTACTGCCTAATCAGTTTTCCCCATTTCACATTTGTAAAATATTTCAGATTGGGGATAGAAATTAATGATCACTTTATTACACTTTAATTTTAAAGAAACCATAGCGGAGGCTAGTAGATGTAGAAAGAGTGTCAGCACAGCCTTCAGGAAAGTACAAAAACTGTCCCCAAGTTTAAGTGGCTTTCACATGCCCAGCTTTTCTCAAACTGAATAGACAATTTTTAGAGATGTGACTCAGTTAATTCTCGTGCATTTGATCAAGAGGTTTGAGCAGAATCAGATACATTATACCTGCCTACATAACAGTAGCCACAATCTTCTCACCAGTAGTGCATGCAAAGTATAAGCTTTAAAATAGCCAGAACAATGAAGCTGTGTTTCAGTAAATTACTTTTAATGCTGGAATGTTCTTGTAAATATTTATCAGAGATGGACTTGCTACAAAAACCAGTTTTTCCACTGTAGCACGATTACACCAAATTCATATAGTTTATTGCCAAAGTTCTCATCATAATGTGCTTTTGAAACATGTTTATAAAGGCATTTTAATTGAGCAAATTTACTGTTTAAAAATATAAGAAGGAAGCTAACACTGTTTGGAAAGTGCACATGGAATCTCCAAACAGAAGCTGTCCAGAGAATGACATTTTAAGGCACATTATTTTCCAACTTGTATTACATAAAATGATTAGATCATACATTTGTAAAATAGCATTTCATACAAGTATCTTCACAGCTCAGAGAGACAGAATACATCTTAATGCAGACTACACTCTTCCTATTTTTTTAACATTAGTAGGTTAATGGTTAATAGTGCAGCATAATAAACATAAAAAAATCCTCTCTGGAGCGCAATTTGTAGAAAAGATATCAAATATTTATGGATTCTATCTTTGTACAAAAAAGGAGGACATAGATACACACTCAATAAATAGCATCCGTGGAATTCCTCACAGACTACATAATATATTTCTTTCTATGAGAGAATACATTCATAAGGGCCAGATTCTCAGCTGGTGTAGACCAGCAGCAGCTCCACTATGAGCTATGAGGATTTACCAGCTGAAAAGCTGGTCCTTAGTGCCTGATTCTTCACTGCTTTGCCCTTTGGGAAGTCACTATGACCTTACAAAATCCATCCCGACTAGGCAAGGTGCAAGGAATCAGACCTATTATTTATACTTTATGGTTTAAATATTTGCTTGAATTGTGAAGGTTACATTATGAAATTAAAGTGAAAAGAGCTAGGAAAATACAACTCATAATGCATAGAGCCACATCTGCAGCTGGTATACATTTGTGTAGCTGCATTGACGTTAATGGCACTACACCAATTTATATCTGCTGAGGATCTTGCTCAATATCTGCACCAAATGGATATATTTTGCAACTCAAAAGTGCACAAGAAAGGTATGGAGCTGAAATGAGGCAGACTATAGACTCTTTGGGCCTATTTCTCCTCTCGTTTATATTGGTGTAAATCAGGAGTAAATCCATGGAAGCCAATGAAGTTACAGTAGAGTAAGGCCTGGTCTACACTTGAAAGTTTTTTCTGCATAGCAATGTCCATTAGGCATGTGAAAAAAATCTGTGTACACACAGTTACATCTGCAAAAAAAAAGCCCTGTTTTTGTAGCTTATTTTGTTCAGGGAACTCATATAAGCTGTTTGTCTGTACAGCTATAGCTATACCGGCCAACCTTCGTTAGTACACACAAGGAGAATTAGATCATTTTTGTATAAATGCCTTTCTGTGACTTCTGTTGATAAAATTCTGTTAACGTTTGTTTGTTTTTTAATATCACAGCAAACTATATTGGGGCTACAGCCTGCAACACACACCAAAGGTTACAAACTCCTATTTTTTTCAGTTACTGTTGCATTTGCATAGATGGTTTTGTTTACCCATCCTAACCGTGTGCTATATCAATTTGCTAGAACAGTATGTGACAACATGAATTTATAAGCCTACATATTCAAAAGTCCCCACACTTGCATAAGCACCAACAGGCAAATCAGGGTTTGCAGGTATGTGCTGACGTTTGCATGTGTACAGATAGTTTGTGAGCACTTTTGAATCTGTAAAAAGCAACAGAGGGTCCTGTGGCACCTTTAAGACTAACAGATGTATTGGAGCATAAGCTTTCGTGGGTGAATGCCCACTTCATCAGACGCCACAGATTCAGATTCTGTTACAGATTCAGACTAACACGGCTATCCCTCTGATACTTGACACCATGCAAGGCACTGCATTTAGCCGTATGGAAAAAAGTATTTCTGATGAAATGGGCATTCACCCACGAAAGCTTATGCTCCAATACTTCTGTTAGTCTTAAAGGTGCCACAGGACCCTGTGTTGCTTTTTACAGATTCAGACTAACACGGCTACCCCTCTGATACTTGAAAATGTAGCTTATAGTCCAGGCCTCCTTACAGTGTCAACGTGTGATGCTCCATTCCTTACTGCTACAACATAGCAAGGAAATTTGCACAAAAGTAATAGGCAAAGGATATTTTTCATAGAAACCAGATTCTGGAAATGGAATCTGATCTAGTATGTTGTTCATGCTTAGGCATTATGCTGGGATATGATAGAACAATTGCTGCCTTTCTGGGACTATGAAAAATACCCTAAAAATGTTGGGCCAGATTCACCAGAATGCCTTGGCTGCTTTGTGCCATTCCAGCAATGCAAACAGCCACCATCCTGGCTGACCTGGCCAGTTAGGTTACTCTTGCATCAGCAGAGCAGTGATAAGCAGCCAGAGCATATCGGTGAATGTGGCTCAAAAACATTCTGAATAAAGAACTGATTCTCCATTGCCTAGCATCTTGTGTAGTCACTTACACCTGGGCCCAATAGGTATAAAATGCTATGAAATCAAAATTCTCCACTTGATTAACTGGGGATAAGATTTTGTGGGTGTAATTGATTATTCTAGGTGCAAGGCATTGGAGAATCTGGCCCAAAGTGTTTTTCTCCTGCTGTATAATGGGTCAGTCTAACTGTGGCTTTCAAAAAGGATCCACATGTCTCATCATGGGGATGAGTAAAATTCCAGTAATCACTCCTATTAATAATACCCAGAACTATGGTTACAAAATATTTTCCCTGCACCAAAACAATAATAAAAATACATAACAATTTACTCAGTTCACAAAAAATTACATTGACATCAAATCATACATCTAGGTCCTAGACTTGCTATGGTTTCTAAGGACTTTATTCCAAGCAACATGTTATTCCCCTGGCTAGGTGGTCAATGTTGGGCTACAGGAGGACTGAAAGAAAGCAGAGAATTACTTGATGGTTTGTGTATAATGAGTTGGTAATTTGAATCCAGTCCCTATGGAGTAGGTTATTTATCTACCTAGTTTTCCATATAATGTCCATCCTCATGGTATCTGAGCATAACCACTAGCACAACTGTCATGCTTAGCTAAGAGGCCATAGACAGAAAAAAGGTACAGGGCCAGCATCTCTGCAAGCGGCCATTGATTTTATTTTTTGGGTGTCCAGTGTGTCTAAAGTTGGACACCCAAGCATGGAGGCACCAGAATTAAAAGCCACTTTTGAAAAACTGGGCCATAGAATCTGAAGTAACATCTGAGTTCTAGCTATAGGGTTAAAACTTTAAAAAGTGCCTAAGTGATTTAGGAGACTAAGTCCCATTTTTATGACTGAATTATGCAGGTAGGGCCAGATTTTTAAAATAATTTAGGTGCCTAAAGATGCAGATAGATGCCTAATAGGATTTTTAAAAGCACCTGTGTGGCTAACTTGACTTCATGGGACTATGACTATTTACACCGGCTGAGAATCTGCCTCAAAGTCTCGGGATTGGGGCTATACTGAATATAATGTCACCACAGAGGAACCAATTGTATATGAAGCTGCTAAACTAAGCCTGGAGCCACCTGACATGCAGTGTTAGTTCAAGTCTTGCCTGGAAATATAAAGTCCTTAGAGCCTTTCACTTGTACTTCATTTTCATACAGGGACTAATACAACTTTCACTGGCTTCACTGTGGGTTGGATTAGGTTTGTAAGGAGAGGAGATCTGGTAGAATCTCAATGATCATCATTTAGCATAAAAATGGAAAATAAAAACTCAAATTCCGAACATCTACAAATATATACATACAGTATAGCCAAAGTGTCGGTATACAGTACTTAGAAATAGCAACATCCTGAGTCATCATGGCACCTAAGCAATGTGTCAAAGGACACAGAAGATGACAGTATTTGAGAAAATCACTGTTCCAAAAAAATATCCAGAGAGGGTTACGTATAAATAGGAAGATTTAACAGATATTTTGGAAGACACCTAAGTAGCCAAATAAATCACCTATGTCTTCACTTTTGTGTGACTGAGGCTATTTGAACAAGAGCAGCTTAATTAAGAATATAAATGAGATGTTTAGGACCATGTAAATTAGAATTCTATTCTATCTCTGTACATTCTTTAATTCCCAGCACCACTTAAAACAGATAACAAGATAACAAGGGTGAAATCCTGGCCCCATTGAACTCCACAGAAAAATTTCCATTCACTTCAGTGGGACCAAGGTTTCATCCCAAGAATTTACAATAGAGAATCAAAATTCCACAATTAAATTAGCTTTTCGCAATGATACAAAAATTCAACAGTAGGACAATATTTCTTCTTCAGCTTTCACATTTAATAAAGAGGCACTAATCTATTTCAACCAGAATAGATTTAGCAAGCAAGAGATTTAACTATTGGCCTCATATATAAGAATTTCACGCAGCATGAATACTGATCTGCATTATTAATGTTACAGATGCAATGTATTGCCTTAATGATGTTTTATGGAAATATATGGCATAATAAAACTATTTTTAATTTGAAAAGCAACATCAAACAGTTTCCCTTTTGAAAAGATTCTCATTATAGCCACAGAATTTATCTTTGTAACAGTCTAGATGAAACAAGGAAGCATAGTTATCAATTTGATTCAACCACATAAGTCCCTTTAATGTGAATGAGGAATTACTGGTGTATGTCCAGCGGAAAAGTAGACCCCAGTGTTTTCTTTCTTGAAACGGTACTAGAAAAAGGCTCAATGCTTTGAGTTTCTCTCACTCTCTCTCTCTTTTTCCAAAGACTTTGTCCATTTTCGCTACATTTGTCTTCTTTTACGTAAGTCAAGGCTCAAAGCTGCGTTTCTTCTTGTTCCAGAGAATGTGGAGGGATGTGACAAGATGACGGAAGAGATGCTAACTTTTGAAGTTTGGGATGTTGCAAAGGTTTTGGTCTATGAAAAGAGCGTCGACTTTGTACACGCCTGGCTGCAGCAGATCTATAGTGGGCTTGTGGGTTAAGCAGCGTTTTCTTCTCTTGGTTCTCCTTAGGGTTAGATTCCTCTAGCCTCTCTTGCATATCTACAGAATTGTCTTGTTGTGAATTCACTGGCTCATAACTAGTTTCAGAACAATATCCTGAATTGACAGGTGGTTTGTTATTCGTATCTGAGACTGCTTTCCAATAGACTTCTGTTAGGTTTGGGTCATAAGAAGTCATGTGCTCTGAGATAGTAGAAAGAGTTGTATTTCCTCGGTTTTCCAGTGAAGAACAGCTTTGTGCCCAGGGCCTTTGAAGGCCAGATGGAATGAAGTGGAGGGGTTTCTCTGAAACAGAAGCATTTTGTTTTGCTTGGTCAGGTTTCCAAGGCAGCAGTTTCTCATTTGAGAAAGCGTATCCTGTCACTGCAGCACTATGGCTCGTGTCACCTATATTGGTAAAATTAAACACAGAAGTATGTAAACATTGATTTCTTGTACAAGCTTGATTTTCATTTGAAATATTAGTTTCAGATCAATCCCTTTGTGGTTGCTATTCTACTGAAGGTCATGTATCTTTAGGAAGGTAAATCTGTTCTCAGAGCCAGTGGGTTAAACTCTGCCCTAACTCCCACCCTCTACAACCCTAGTGAAGCTAATGGAATTGCCCAGGGTGGAAGTCAAGAACAAATTTAGCCCAGTGTTTGTCAAGTACATCAGCCTGTTCCAAATTCTTAGCAGACAGTGCCATCCTGTGGCCATTTAAATGTATTTATTTGTATAAGCAATTTTGCCTTGGAGTATTGAATTGTAAGGGTCAGCTAAGGGATTCTTAAGAATTTGGGTTCCAATGCTACTTTTACATTGGAATGTTTTACAGTATAAGATGCATTTAAAGGGATCATTGCAAGGTCTTTACAATAAAGCTGAGGCTGCTTGGACCTTACTCTTTTTTAAACTTGTTTTAACCCGTATGACAAGTTACTTTTATCCAGCAAACTCGCTCCCAATTTTAACCTTGAGGGAAACCACAGTCAAAGCGCAGTGACTGTAAATATACCCCACAAATTTATCTGCACAGGAAGCTGTTATGTACCATTGTATTATTCTATATATAGAATAAACGCAGTAACAATCAAGGCAATAGAATGGAATAAAGGACAAAGGTTAATAGAAGTTTAGCAAGTCATAAGAAACAGAAGTCAATATTGTGCAATATAGTAAATATTTCCAGTTAAAAAGAAAGTTTCAGATACTTTCAATGTGAACAAGTGATGTTAGTGTCAGAGATATGTTTAAATTCTGGGATAGCATTTATTATATGTTTAATCCACACAGTAGTTCCAGTACTATTTCATTCATCTAGCAGTAATTCCAAATGGCTATTTTTTTAAATAAGGATTTATAATTGCAAATTGACTAAACACAATCTAAGACCAAAAGACAGCTCAACTCCACTCCACTGGTGAAAATGACACATCATACTTCTCTACCTGGAACTAGCTAAAGGCATCACAGCTCCTCATAAGATATGAGCCATGATAAAAGGGAAATATAACTTTCTCTTTTTATTCCATTTCAGATGACTACGAAACTCCATTGCGGTCAGATTTCTGCACTGCTCAGAGTCTAGGAAAATTTACGTTCTGTGTTTCCTTTGAACTCAGGTGGCTAACAATCACTTCAAAAGGCATGAAGCTAGAGTAAATGCACGTCAGTCAGGCTCTAAATATGTACATACATTTTTCAGGACAATATTAATAGGAGGGTGTTTCCTGCTCATTTGAAACAGCCATACCCTGAGCTGAATAAACCCTCAGCACTTTATTCGAATATGGTTCTCTCCTTCTCAACTGGAAGCACCCTCAAGTTATCTAAATAATTCAGTTGCTGGTGCAGAGATGACGCTAGGCATTGTCTTTGTAGTTAATTATTCCACCATAGATCATGCACTTGTTTATTGTGCTTTGTTGCTAAATCTCTGCATTGCCCTAGGTTTTGTGTTATAATGACTGAATCGTGACCTGAGCCATCTCATTTACAGCAATGTCTGTGACAGTTATAGAAATATCTCAAACTGTGGGCTGATTTTCTGTTGGGGGACTAAAGTGAGACTAAAATATTCATTTCATATGTGACTGAATTCAGATTTGAACTGATAACCTATAGAGGTGACAACTTACTGTATTGAGCAACTACATTAAAATATTACTTAAAGTTTAAAAATAAGGTAAAGCTTTCCATAAATACCCAACTTAAAATTCAACTCAGAACCAAAAGGATGTATTCTTCACACAATTCACAGTCAACCTGTGGAACTCATTGCCAGGGGATGTTGTGAAAGCCAAAACTATAACTGGGTTCAAAAAATAATTAAGTAAGTTCATGGAGGATTGGTCCATCACTGGCTATTAGCTAAGATGGTTAGGGATGCAACCCCATGCTCTGAGTTTCCATAGCCTCTGACTGCCAGAAGCTGGGAGTGGACAACAGGGGATGGATCAGTCAATAACTGCCTGTTCTGTTCATTCCCTCTGAAACACTTGGCATTGGCCACTGTCCGAAGAGAGGATATTGGGCAAGGTGGACCATTGATACGACCCAATATGGCCATTCTTATGGTGAAATGAATGTCGGTGCTCTAATAAAAATCTGGGGTCTAACTTCCCCAAGGTGTTGCCCTTATGTAGTCATCTCCACCTATACAAAGTAGATGCAATGTTTATAGCAAGCTGTACCTGATTTTTAAACTTTATCTTAAGTAATATATTGCTGTGGCTATTAGTATTATTTATTAGTTGTGGCTAAATGCTCCATCCTCATTAGGCTAGGCACTGTACAAACACATAACAAAGACAACGCCTGCTTGAAGTTACTGGGGACAACAGTTTATCACTTTAGGAGATATTAGGTTAAATCTGAATTCAGTCTCATGTGAAGTGACTTCAGCGGGAGTTTCATCCCTGTAGCAGAGGGCAGAATTGGTCCCACAATATAAATAGTTTGATTAAGCTATACAACAGAGTAAAACCAGGAAAAACAAATAGTACATAACCTACAAGTGTGTGAAATGTTTTTGGTTTTACAATAGCACAAGAAATGTTGAAACCCAAACAAAGGTCTGGTGTAGACCAGACAGCTGTGATGATTTACACCAGCAAGGGGTCTGGCCCTAAATATTTAAAGATAAGCAACTTTCATTAAAAATACCAGTTTCAAACTGGAGCCGAATAGCAGATGTTCAGATGCAGAAAAATCAGGGAAGAGAAAGATACTTGAAAAAGACAAAAAGAGATAAGGAAAGCTGTCAGGAGGCCAGAGCAGACAGAGAGATTGATTAAAAATAAAAATGAAGGTCAATTTTAAAATATTACATATGTGTTGTTTCTGGGAGGAAAGCTCTGGGTCGCTCCTCTGGCCCATCTGCTAGCAAAAAGGAATCTACAGACTTATTGCTGAGGCGAAACGGGGTGAGCCGTCTGAAGTTGTTTGGAGAATACGGTAACTGTACTCGGGCCCTTTGTGATGGTACTACAGAATCTTCATCAGATAACCATGGCGGGAACTTCATGTAGATACTTTGATCATCATCAGCTGAAAATGCTGGGTTATCAATTCCTACAAAAGTTTATGAGTGATAAATTCAGTTGGAAAATAAAATAACTGGCAGCAAATAGGATGTTTAGCCCAGGAATATGGCCATAATGAAATAAAACATAAACAAATATCATTTTTCAGCTTTCTGCTCACATGCCGGGTTACTGCTGGTCATTTTGCTATTTTAAAAGTCTCAGCTGATTAAAAAACAAATCAAACAAACCAACAAAAAACCTATCATTGGCAGTTATGGCTGAAGGCTCTGCTGACAGAAAAACCTAAATGCACAGTTTATCCAAACGAACTGATTTGATTTAAATCAATCATACCAAATGTGCTCAGTTCTAGTTTTTTTTAAATGTATCAGTTTAAAAATGAAACATATTTGAAAGATTGATACCAGGGCTAGACTGACCAGCTGTTTTGCATCACCCCAGTAATGCAAAGGAGATTCAAGCCTGGATTAACTAGCCCATTAAGACAGGTTTATGGCTTTTTGGCATCACTACAGAGCACAAAGCAGTCAGCGGATACTGGTGAATTTGGCTCCCCAGTCTCCGACAACTTATAGTGTAAACCCAGATAGTAAGAGGACGGGGGTCAGAGGTTGTTCCTCTGACAACACTGCAAATCAATAATCGCACTGAAGTCAGTGGATTTACAGTCGTGTAAAATGTGTGCAAGAGGAGAAACAGGCCAAAACAGTCAAAAGTACCTTTTTTGTATGTGTGGAAACAGGTAACGAAGCCCTTTTAAAACAAATATCAAATCTGCACGCGGTGAACCATAAAATAATATTTTAAAAATAACAATCTAGATCCAGTTTGAAACCTCATTCTTTTCTGGAGCATTATTAGCCACTTCATATGCACCCTAACACAGTATCCATCGGGGTGTGGTGTATTAGAACAGTTCTATCAGCATGAGTTTGGTTATATTCAAATGAATCCAATAGAAGCATTATACTACATCACACCTTCAGATAGCTTGCACCTGCCACGTGTTACAGAAAACAAATTTATACTCGCTCATAAGCCGATTTTTTTAGTAAAAAAGGGAAGCACCAGAGAAGGGGTTCGGCTTATGAACGGGTATAGAGAGGGAGGGGTGGGACACAGCCCCTCCCCCAACAGAGGGAGCAAGGAGAGGCAGCACAGCCAGTAGAGACAGAAGGGAAGAGGCGGGGCCAGAGTCTCTCTGCTTCTGGCCATGCCGCTCTCCTGCCAGCCTCCAAAGCAGCTGCAGTTCCAGGGCTGGCAGACTGCAGCCGTGCCGCTTGGCCCCGCCCGCCAGAGCAGGCTGTGGCCGTGCTGCCCAGCCCAGCCCGCTGGAACATGCTGCGGCCACGCTGCCCGGTCTGGCCCGCCCGAGCAGGCTGCGGCCGCGCTGCCCAGCCTGCTGGAGCAGCTCCAGCCAGGCCAGAGACATCCTCCCCTGGCCCTCTCCAGATAAGGTGGGAAGGGATGGGATGGGGAGAGTGTGGGGGTCCCAGGCTAGGGGTGGAGTCATGTGGGGGGTGGTCACAGGGGTTACTCCCCTGACCCCCAGCTTCTCCTCTCCCAAAACATTTCCCCACCAGTTGCTGTCCCGGCCCGTCAGGGTAAGCAACTGGTGCACCGGGACACTTTGTTTACTTAGATTTACCTCCGTGCCTGCGGACGCTCGAGGTAAACAAACCATTTCGGCCTGCCAGCGGCTTATCCTGATGGTCCGGGAGCCAAAGTTTGCTGACCCCTGAATTATAGGGTCGGCTTATGAACGGGTTATAAAAATTTTCCATTTTTACTTATCCATCTTGGGGGAGTTGGCCTATAAACAAACCGGCTTATGATCGAGTATATACGGTACTATGTTGTGAGTCCTACTGGACCGGGACTAGAGAGAGGGAAAATTAACACATTTTAAAACCTTAAACATTACCTAAAATAGCTTCTTCTAGACATAAACATGTCATGGTTTTAAAATCTGATGTCTTTGAACTTTCCAGGACTGGAAGCAAGAGCTGTGTGGCCCACTGGAAAGCTGGGAATCCCCAGTGATGGAAAGATCCTGCTTCTAGCTCTGCAGGGTCACTAGAATGATATTAGAACTTAAACTTACACTGGTCCAGGACTAACTATTGCCCGTTCTGGGCCCCAGGACACCGTAATTTTGGGAAGAGACATTCCACATCAAGAGGAAACGAAGAAAACATATTTGAGTCAAGTTGACGTATATATTCCTGACAAAGCAGAAATCAATTCAAAATGGCTGAATATTGGCTGACTGAAAATCAGGACAACTCTAGAATCATTTTTTCTATGTCTAGAAGTGATTAGTCATTTCACAGCCAGGGTATGCAGTCATGACCACAACCTTTGTCAATATCATCAGTAGAAAGCTATTAACAAAAAATCTAATAAACTGCTTTGCAATTGAAGAAAATGCTGCATTTATGATCTATTTTCTTACCAGAGGTAGCATCTGTGCAATTCTGCTTGGTGACATTCGCTAAAAAGTCAACTCCTTTGTCCATATGCAGAGATTCATAATTTTCTTCTGGATCAGAAAATTCCACATCTGGAAGAAAATATTAAAAAATCAGCGTGCACTAGAGATTCCTAAAAGATTTGACCCAAAGTGTTATTTGGTAGCTTCTTGATGCTAGTGTAGCTATCAAAGATTTATATAGTAAATCTTTAATGTAAATCTGGGTAAATGTATGTTTTGAAAGCAATCGTATCTTTATAACTAAATTCTGTACACATCTAATTTAACAGTTTATCAGGTCGCTAATATTTGATTCCTGGTTCACTCCTGCATCAGTATCTTGTGCTGTAATTATGTGAGTTTTTCCAAACTAAAGGGGATTGGGCTAGATGAGTACTTGGATAGGAGAGCTGCAGGAAAAGCTTACAAACTGCAGCAAGTGCTGATTCAGAAGGTGGCACTTTTCCTGCTTACCCAGTGCTGAAAGAAAGCCTGAGCATAGTGACAGGGGTCACTGTGCTGCTAGAGGTGCTCTCTTTCAAATGGGATACAAAATTGAGGTCCTGACAACTTGTGGTAATTAAAGATCCAATTGCATTTTCATAAAGGGATTAACATCGGTGTCCTGGATCGTTTCAAACTTGGTTAATTAATTCCTGCCAATCTACGCTCCCCCCTGTAGTGGCTATGATGTTCTTTCCCACCACTCAACGCAAACCACCATGTAGTGCTGCTGTGTGTGGTTAAACACCTGCTGTGTTTCCCCCCACAGGCAGTTCCATATCAGTGGCCGGTGAAATGATCCCTGTACATTAAATCCCTTATCAACCCCTCTATAGAAAATCCCTTAACACATGAGTGATGGAAGGCCTAATTAGTTAATGTTTGGGAAACACTTTAAGATCAAAGAAGCTATAGAAGTATAATTATTATTCAGCCAGTATATTGCTGCTGGCAGTAAAAATAAATGCTAATAAACTGATAGAGAGCAAATACCTGAGCTCAGAGTTTCTACCTCCCACACCCACGCTATTCCTTTCTGAAAGCTATGGGGAAAATTCTGACACTGCCCCTCCTCCCCCTACTTCCCAGCCCTCTTTAAAATCAGTGGGGTTGCATGGGTAACTGAGGGGAGAATTTAACTCAATGCCTTATAATAACTTGCCATGGCAGGTGGTATCAGACACAACTTATTGTGATTGACTCCAGCAAGTGCAACAGCACCTGCAAAGAGACAGCTGAAACTCAGATCTAAGGATCTTTTTCTTTAAATGCAAAATTAGAAGTGCAGGGTTTTTTCTTTCCTTCTTTTGCTAGGGACACTCCCAAGGCTAGTAGGCCCAAAGCTAGATTTGCTAAGCCAAATTCTGTGCTAGAGTCACTGGGGTTGCATTAGGGTAAAAGTCAGCACAATATTTGGCTATACTGTCTTTCCATTCATGTACATGTTATGCTGTCCTCCTGTTCCAGCCTGCTTGCTCTGCTTTCAGAGAAAGTACCGATATTTACAAGATGCCTGGGCAAGTCATGATGGGCGCATGTACATACCCATGGGATCACAAAGAAAGCCATTATCATAGTTAGCTGTGGCATGTCATGAGTCAGAAGCTGAGATTTTATCTATGTTGTGGCCTTCTTTATGGTGGCCTCCAATTATTTTTAGGATTTCAAGATTAAACATTGGTTTTGTTAATGTTAGTTAGTTATAAAGTATGTTAAATTTCAGCTTGTCACCAAGTTGTCTCTGAAAATATAGTTATTTTTTAAATGTTCACTACTTCCTTCCAAACACATCTGTTTTCAGCACGGAGAGGGGAAAATGTGACATGGGTAGTAGTACATTTGTTAATGTCAACTTAGTTTTTTTTCCTGCCATGAAATTTCACAAGAACACTCTTCCTCCAACAAAATACAAGCTGATTAAAACAATTGGTTAACTACTGTTGTTTGACAGTGAAATTACCTTTTTCCTTCAAAGTAAAATCTTGCACTGGATTTTCCGAAGGTATTTTTCCATTTGGTATGGCATTACTATTTCTCTGAAAAAGTAAAACATTTCAAGTTACCTCAGACAGTGATAGCTATGCAGTACATTGTAGATACAGAGAGCCTGATTCCCCAGCTTTCTGCCAATCAAATGGAGTTCACCAACATAACACTGGAATAACGTAGTGGTGATCACGCCTAGATATTTTAAGCCTTTATTTTGTCTTTGCATAGAACTCCCATTGATGTTAGTGCAGACACACAACTCTATTAGTGGTATGTGGCCGAGTTTCCTACTCCTTTTGCAATTGGGCAGGTTGGATTTGTCCCTCCTTCCTCCATGCAGGAGAAGCTGGAGTTTCATCTCCTCAAACTATCAGCTCCCCTGAACTCCATGCAACTCCATGGAGACATAGGCGCCAACTTCCCCTCTTTCCCCAGGGTGCTCGACCCCCCCCCCCCTGCGTCCCCCGCCCAGCCCCCACTCTACCCCTTCCATGAGGCCCTGCCCCTTCCCACCCCTTCCCAGCCCCCATTCCAACCCCTTCCCCAAGGTCCCCGCCCCAACTCCGCCCCCTCCCTGACAATATTCCAACTCCTTCCCCAAATCCCCGCCCCAGCCCTGCCTCTTCCCTGCCTCCTCCCCTGAGTGCACCATGCTCCCGCTCCTCCCCCGCCCCATTCCCAGAGCGTGCTATCGCTGCCAAACAGCTGTTTTCAAATATCAGAGGGGTAGCCATGTGGGAAACGCTGGGAGGCAGGCAGAGGAGTGGGAATGCGGCGCGCTCGGGGGAGGAGGCGGGGAAGAGGCAGGGCTGAGGTAGGGGGAAAGGGGAGCTTGGCTGCCGGTGGGTGCAGAGCACCCACTAATTGTGAGCACTTTTGAAAATGTAGCTCATAGTCCAGGCCTCCTTACAGTGCCACAGGACCCTCTGTTGCTTTTTACAGATTCAGACTAACATGGCTACCCCTCTGATATTTGAAAATGTAGCTTATAGTCCAGGCCTCCTTACAGTGTCAACGTGTGATGCTCCATTCCTTACTGCTACAACATAGCAAGGAAATTTGCACAGAAGTAATAGGCTAAGGATGTTTTTCATAGAAACCCATTAATTTTTCCCCGTGGGTGCTCCAGCCCCAGAGCACCCACGGGGTCGGTGCCTATGCAGACACGAGCCATCCCTTCTGGCACTGTGGTTGTTGGACCTGGAATCCCCTCACAACCAAAGGAAGGATCCCACAGTGCAGAGGGAAATGGTGGGTACGTTCCACAAGATTGGTGAGGATATAATGCCACCTTCAGTGCTGCCCCTCGACTCATCCCACATTTTGATCTCTCCCCTGGCTTGGGTCTTGATCGCCAGTACTCCCTCTGAGGAGCTTCCACAGGGAAGAGATTGATGCTGGGAGCCGAAACTACCCTATGCTTCCTCAGGAATGGATCCTCTAGAGTACCGGGCCTTTTGTCTGGGTAAATGGCCCTAAGCGCACGCCCCGTACCCTTTTTTGGCCCCGGTCTCTCTTGTGGCTTTTGTTGAGCTTTTTGGGCTGGTTTATTCCTAGTTTGGTACTCTTGAAAGACTCTAAGCGCTTCCTCATTGTCCGGTGGAAAATCTCCTTGTCTTGTTTTTCGTCTTCATTCTGAATGATCTCGTGCCGACTGTACAGATGTATGTGCTGTAGCCAGGAAGATAAGAGAACATTTATTTATATAGAAATGCAGACTGGGACCCAGCACCAAGGCAACTGCCAAAACCAATTGATTACAAAAAAACAATTAATTACAAGTCAACACACTAATAGGATTCCAGGTAGTTAATTATTTCCTTCTTACCTACAGGTATGGTAATTTGAAAAATATTGATTGAAAGTCATTCAGATTAATCACACTGGCTAGAATAGGTCTGGATTAAACAGCTCAGTCTTCCTAACGTTCACATGCTTCATTTCACCCTCACCCAGCCAGTTAGTTTTCAGACCAGCAACAACCAACCAGCAGAACACATCTGGGGCCCAATTCTGCAATCTTCTCTCACATGAGTAGTGCCATTGAAATCAATGGGACTACTTATATTATACGGACTGCTCACATGATTAAGGGTAGGCAGGATCAGAGCCCATCTTCAGTTAATGATTGATTTTGCAGATTAGTCCTTTTATTTTGAGTTTCCCAATAATTTTCTGCATTTTGTTTCTTCTGGCTGTCAAATGAAAACATGGTAATCGCTGCAACTGTGCTCTCACCTCTTGTCTGGGTTTGTAGAGGTACTGCTGCAGTGTGTGGTGAGTGACTGTATCCTCTGTATCTCGTATGCTTTTTCTCCTCTGCTCTAAGGCTTGCATATCCAGACAAACGGAGCTGGCTTTTTCTCTCCTAAAGCAGAATATTAAAATACATACAACGTTTTTCTAGATCACTAACTGGAGGGAAAAAAGTATGCACTGCAATATATTTAAACTTGAAGATAAGTGTGGATGGGATAAAAACAAGTAAACGTCATCATGGGTCAAGTGTAGTCTAGAGTGAGTGGGCACAAATCTGGGCAGATTCAGCAGTGACATCAATGGTGGTATAATTTGGTCAGGAAAAGCAGATAAATGACAAACCAGTGCAACTTGCAACAATTTAGCATTGATTGATCGTCTGCTTTATCTTATAAACTTATGCCTGTTTGCGTCTTTTCCTGTTACATCTCATCCTTATGCACCTGCAGGATGGAAGGTCTATCAATCTAGCTCAGTGGTTCCCACACAGTGGGGTCCCCAGACCTCTGGTCGGTCCGCTATGGGTTATGCGGGGGTCTGTTCCTTGGGACAGGGCCAGAACCTGCCGGAACAGCATTCTGGCACTTGTCCTCCATGGAAGACACCGTTTTTCTCAGACACTGTGCATGAGAGATCATGCTGGTAGGGGCGTTCTGGTCATACCAGTACTTGCCCATTCAGAAATACACGCTCCCTGTGAGGGTTTAATAGTACTTCTTCTGCCACAGATGTCACGACTCACAACACTCACAAGTAATACCCGCATTTAGGGGAAACAGAAATTCAGATAAAGATACGTGTATAGGGTTTCAGGACGCTACAGTGAAGCTGGGAATTAAGCCCCCGGAATCCTGAGACCACTGAACTAAACTGTGTGTGCGTGCATTTTTGGAGGTGACATAACTAACCGAACTAATAGAGTAATAATGACATGAAACTTATGTATAAACAATGAAAGGGGTCTGGGATATTTAGTCAGATGCCAAAGGGATCCTTGGCAGAAAAAAGTTTGGGAACCGCTGATCTAGGTCATTCATCCCCATGCTATTAGTCACACTCATTTTCTGTACCTGGGAAATACCAAATTCAGCAGTACTTGACCACTTACATCTGTGGTCAGACCAATTTGCATCTTATGAGTAGCAGATGCCACTGTTTATATCACAGTTAAATTTATCCCAATAAATTTTATGTGCCATTTGTTTCTCACAAATGTGTGTATTTTTCTTCCCTAAAGGGTGAAAAGGTGACTTGAGACTAAACCTCTGGAATTTGCCCAGCAGTGAATACTGTAGGCAAGACCCACGTACTCTGCAGAAAGTTGGACCAATATTGTGCTGTATAGCTCTATAGTTTTTGTGGCATGCCTGTGCACCAGATGGGAAATTTGGTGCCAACTCCAGAAATATTCAAATGAGGAGATTTTTTTTAATTAAATAAGCAAAAGGTAATACAATTGCCATCGTCTCTTTTGTGTTGTTTATGTTAGTATTGCACACTTTTTTTTTTTTACTCTGCCTCTACGTTTTTCATATGCCACAGATATTTGTATTGACAATGCATAACTGCAGGGCAGAAGCTATCAGAGGGGAAGCTGGAGGTTTTGGCAGCTGGCAAGGGGACAGAAGAGGCCAAGTTTTACTATCCTTATTCAGACCAAGTACCCCTCGAGTAGATCCACTGAAATCAGTGGGTCTACTCAAGAAGTAAGGTCCTACTTGTGACAGATTTTGCAGCATCTTTGGGGACCAACGTATTAAATTTATGAAATATTTATGTCTGATTGTGTTCTGCTTCATGGGGGAGAGTTACCACAGCTCCTCCAGGAACTAGAAAACACTATGGGGTGATCACCCTGGGGATTGTAAACAACTCCAGAGAAACACCATCCCCTGGGGTGTTTGCATACACTGGTTCAAACTAGGTTTCCCAGAGACCCAAACAAAGAAAGGGCTTTGGGTATAAAAAGGCTGAGTTTGAACTAACACGGAGCCTTATTTTCATTCAGCAAACGGACACGATCATCTGTCCAGGGGAGGGGTGGGGCAAGCTTACTAGGGCTTTGGCTTACTAGGGTCCATAAGACTGATGGGTGACCTCTGGGAAGCTGTTAGCCTGCATATAGGAACTTCTATTGTTTTGATATGTTTTCCCTGTAATGCTTTTACCCTAACAATAAATGTATTTTGTTTTGTGAAGGCTGGTTGGTCACTGGTATACACAGTTGTAGCCCCTGGAGAAAGGTTAACCACAGGTGCTGGACTCCTGTCAGACCTGCTGGGGAAATCACACTGAAGTGCAGAAGACCATGAGCCTAAACCCCTCATCCAGAGTGAGAGACAAGCAGGTCTCCACCCATGAGATATGACGGCTGGGAGCCTGAAACCTTATGTGGGAGCCGTTGAATAAGAGTATATGTGCGTGTCAAAGATGCAGTTAAACTCTGAAACTGTGACACTGTTCAGTGAGAGTAACGGTGGAAGCATCTGGCCCAAGGTGTGGGAAGCAGTTTGGTATTAAGGGATAAGCACATTAACAGCTAGACACAATTAGCATTTTTTCAATGAAAAGTTTTGAATTGAAACATGGGATTTCAATATCAGTGATTTTTTGTGTGGAAACTTCATTTTCACCACTTTTTCCCCAAAATGAAAATTTTCAACAATTACGAAATTTTGACAAAAATGTCTGTTTTTAAATTGTAGGGAAAATACCACTTCCTCATTTAAAAAGAATCCTCCCCCTCCCCCATACTTTCTTCCACTAACTTTTTTCAGCAAATGTTCGTACCATTTTTCAACCTGCACTATTAGCAGCATGTTTCTGCGGGAGAGCATCCCCTGCCCACGTAGCGCTGTCCACACCGGCGCTTTTGTTGGTGAAACTTATGTTTTTTTCACACCCGACTGACAAAAGTTTTGCTGACAAAAAGTGCTAGTGTAGACAACGCCTTAGTTTCACCAATAGCCGGCTCTTAAAAATATAGGGCCGGCTTTATTGGTACTTTGCAACTATGCACCCCCCTGCAATTCAAAGCAGCCATACATCTGGTTTAACTGGCAGGTTGTACCCAGTTTACAGCTGCTTTACATAATGGAAGTGGCACAAACTGCTGGAGCATTACCAGGGAATATGTCTCATAATTTAAAAAAAGAAAAAGAAATTTTACAACATTTAAATAATGAATTCTAAACAAGAATTCCATGGTAAAGGGTGGATTCTGTGGCTCTGGCATCATGTAACATACAAGGCTCTGGCTACAGGGAGGGATGCAAAACTGTATGAATGATAAGTCCCTGTTCTTACACACTGGAACTTTCTGAACAATTCACCCTTAGGGATAACATTTTCCTGCTTGGTCTCTGACCAAAGGAGATTTTAGTTTGGAAGGTTTGTGTAAAATCATTTAGCTGCTTCTGATTTCCACAAAGGTGAAAAAATGAGACTTCCCATTTTTTTAAAATACTGCCATTCATTTTTCTGCACATATGTGATACTCTCTATTCCCATTTTTCTGGTTATACGTGTAACTTTATATATTACTGTTCATGTCATAAAATGTATTCCATTAAACTCCCAGGAATGAGATAACCCTGAGGAAGGGTTCTCTTCTTTGAACCTGGTGAAATATGTAATGAGTATAATATGCTACTTTGACAGACTGACAATGTCTTGTAATATCCTGGAAAAACCTTACGGAATTAAGATAAACTTTACTGAATTAGGTTAAACCTTACTGAATTAGGGCTAATACCTTTGTAGGTCCATTGTATTAAAAATGCAATTCTGTATGTGTTATTGTCAAAGTATATGTACTCTCTAGTAGAAGGAGGAACATAGGTGCTGACTCCATGGGTGCTCCATGGCTGGAGCACCCACGGGGAAAAAATCATGGGTGCTGAGCACCCATTGGCAGCTCCCCTATCAGCTCCTCCCCTCCCCCCAGCGCCTCCCACCCATCGGTGGGCCCCGTGGATCAGCGCCTCCCACTCCCTTCCCACACCTCCTGCCTGCTGCGATCAGCTGTTTCACGGCTTGCAGGAGGTGCTGGGGAGGACAGAGAGAGGAGTGAGGATGCAGTGTGCTTGGGGGAGGGGGCGGAACTGGGTGGGAAAAGGCGGGGTGAGGGTGGAGCGGGGGTGGGAAGAGGAGGGGCGGAGGTGGGTCTTTGGGACAGAGCCGGGGGTCGAGCACTCCCTGGCACTTTGGAAAGTCGGCACCTGTGAGGAAGATGCTAATGTACTTCCTTTGTTATCAGCCTTTGAAGCCACCTCCTGGAGAGGGGCGTATATACGAGTTCAAACTGGATTCTTCATGAACCAAGAAAGACAAAGAAAGGATTTTTGGATAAACAGTCTGGTTGTAAACTGGCTCAGGGCCTTCTTCCTGATCCAGCAAATGGACAGAACCCCTGGTCCATGGAGAGCCCCAGCCTTTTGGGAAGGAGTTGGAAGGACTAGGCCTGCTGAAGCCCCATAAGACAGGGGGGCTTGTTCTGAGCTGAAGCTGTGGTGAGCTTGTAACCTGCCGGAGTCCATGTTAGGGCTGGGGCGAGCCCTTATTAGTATGCGTGTAGCTTCTTTTATTGTTTTTAATATGTTTTCTCGGTAATGCTTTTTACCTGAAGAATAAAACAGGTTTGCATAGAAAGAACAGTGTGGGGTACCTGTCACTGTTGAAAATCACTCAGTTATCAGTCTCTGAAGAGAAAGCAACCAAGTCAGCATGGGAGCATTTTACGCCCATTTTGTACTGGGGTAAACACCATTTTTTGTATTTAATCATATATAACTCAAAAATGAAACAAAAACAGTCCCTAAAAAAGTTACTTACAGTAAACAGGAGACAGAGGCCTCTACAGTACTTGGTCGAGGAGTGCTGAAGTCCACATTGACCATGTTGTCAGTACTTGAAGAACGAATAAAAGCCAGGGAACCTCTACGCTCTCCCTGTTCACAAAAGAAATAAGGTGCATTACAGCTTAGCGGTAGGGCTTTCAGTCAAAGGGTATATGATGTTAACACAGGTATACCTAGGGCTAAATTGTATAATATAAAAAAACGATGGCATCATTTCTGAAGCTTCTGTAGGCAAATGACCCATAAATACAACTTTCCCCTAGTTCTTTTGTAACAGGAATAAGGTCTTTTGTAACTGGAATAAGGTCTCTTTTTTCATGTGGTTTATTTCCCTGGGGCAAAAGTCAACCTTGTACAGGGGGCCAGCCCAAAGCCGCTTCACGTAAGTCACACTCTAAAGGCCCTCAGTGAATTCCCCTTTCCACTATATAAAGGGTTACTTCCAATACTGGGCAACATTTTTCATCTAAGACCTTGCTAGCCACCTGTAAACATCTACTTATCTAGATTCTTATATTGGCACCCATATCTGTGCTAACTGAACACCTTCCAAGATATGGCAGTAATCGTTCTTTCTTCCTTCCCAGAAGGGAGGCAAATGTTTGGTTAGTCATTAAATGTATGCATGCATGCACGAGGAACTAAAGCTAAATTGAAAAGGTGAGCTTTGCTTTCAGTTCTGTGTGGTGATACAAAAGTGAATTCCTGTGAAACGTTTGTCTCCCGTGTTCGCCAGTGCCCCCTGCTACTTGACATTTTCATTGTTCTTGTGGACTGTAGCTAGTGAGTGAAGTCATGCTCCCAGAAGGAGAAAAATTTCTCCGGTAGTGAGGGGCAATCCCACATACGGTTTTGAATTGCAGCACAGAGATCTTGGACTGGACTCTATGTTTTAATGAGCGGTGAACAGAACATCTGTGGAAAAATATTTCCCCCACTGACAGAAGTACATTATTCTTAAGATCAAAGCTAATGTATTGTGATGTTGTAAGCTATAGCTCTGTCATGACCATTTTACATGTCCATGCACAGCAAAGGAATCAAGAAAGCGTATACATGGTTGTAACAGGATGTGCTGAGCCAGAAGCTCACTCAACACCCTGTCACTCATAACCCTGCCAGTTTGTATTAATTGAGCTCTGATTGAAAAACAAGCAGTTGGCAGAGGAGGCCAAATAACTGAGTGGCAATACAGCTGAGAAGCTAATAGGGTGGAAGTATCCCCAGCAGCTAGGCAGACAGGAAGGAAGCCCTGGAGAGAGTAGGGTGCCTGAAGGAAGGAACAAGCAGGCAGGACTGGCTGCGGTTCGTACTACTAGTGTACCCTTCCCCAGAAAGCAAGTGGGGAATCTGGCTATTGATTGTAAATGTAATATATAATAGAGTGGTGGTTAAAAAGACCTGGAGTGGCTATGGTCAGCTACTGAGGCTGGAAAGGACACTTAGGAGACCTGTGACAATGGTGGAGAAAATCTATGTTCCATGCAGTACAATCACCTATGCATAATTTATAGTAATCTGTGTTCTAAGCAATTTAGAACCATTCCATGGCATTAGAAAAATCAATGTGACATCTGAAAATAGAAACACCTACATAAATATTACAGTAAAATGGAAATCAGATATTTAAGGTACCTGAATGTGAGGTTCATAATTATATTACTGCTAGAACTATTACTGATTGAAGCATGAAATGTTTTTAAATGACTCCCATGACACTTAAATGCATGAAATGGGGCTACAGATATTTCTGGTCACAGGTAGAAATGTCCTTCTGTGAACATTCCTCTGCAGTTATACTTCTGGAGGCCTTTCTGTGTGTGATAACTAGAACAAGACACTTTGACCTAAGCTCTCAGTCTAGATGTGGTTCTAGCTATTAGTTGAAGACTGCCTATGTGCCATGGATCAATGAAGCCTTCTTGCTCAATATCCAGACTAACGGGTTAGGCTGGGGAGAATAACAAGGAGATTTTCTGGCCTGCTGGTATCCAGAGATTGGTAGGAATTTGAGAGGCCAGCTGTTCTCAGACTGTGGTGTCTGGAGTCCTTCTTGGTGTTCCGCAGAATTAAACAATTAGAGAACCAACAAATAGGTGGTAGAGCAGGAAGAGCAGGAAGAGTTGGTCCAGAAAAGACTGTTGTCTTGTGACATGGCTCACAAAATGAAAAAGCTTGGGAACATTCCAAAAGATTTTGGATTTTGCCCATGAGTAACATTGAATTTGCTAGTGCAGCAAAAATGTTTCGTGTTTTGGTGTTAGTTTTTTGGGAGGCTAATGAACCAAAAAACAAAACAAAACAAAACCCCAGCTCTTTATCAAGTTTGTAGTTCATTTGGCTACAAAAATAAGCTCCACCTTGAGGCTAGCCCCCAGATGCTCTCAGTCTGCAACTGCCATCTGCACTGCTTACTCTAACTCTAATTTCTGAACAAGCCATCACTGGAAAGCACACTATTGCTTCAGCCACAGCTTGTTTAATTATTCATAGGGACCCAGATTCTGCCACCTTTACACATGCTGACTAGCACATGCTCACTTGCATAGCTCCCGTGAAACCATGGTACTACTCAACGCATGTGGAAGCAGAAGCCAAACTCCTAAATGATACCTACCAGAACAGAACAGTGACATATACAGGACCCAGTAGTACTGAGGAATTTAGAGGTCATACAATGAACCACAATCACATAAATAGGTAATTATGGGACACAATGCACTTCAAATATTATTTCACCGTAAAAGTAGATTTGCTTTTGATTCAGCTCTCCTAATACATGGAAGTTAAGAAATGCTGCAATATTTAAAACAAAGAAATATGATGTTACAGTGTGTAAGAAAAGATGTTTAAAAGTACCTCAGCCACATAGCTAATAGCATCCTTCAGGTTGAGCTCATGGAAAATATTAAGAATCTGGTCTCTTGATTTTTGAGCAGACCTTCTCATCAGTACTTTACTGAGGATTTTCCGATCAAAATTGGACCACCTAGTGATTTAAACAAACAATTTTAACAGCAGCAATCAATTTAAATGACAGTTCGTATTTTTAGTTTTGCTTGAACAGCTGTTCCTTTGAGTTAAGCATTTTTATACAGTAACTCCTTGCTTAACGTAGTTATGTTCCTGAAAAATGCGACTTTAAGCGAAATGATGTTAAGC